ACTCCAGCCGCGTGCTGGTCCTCCCAAAGCTTGACCTCCTCTCGCCGCACCTTGCCCCAGACCCGCAGGATGGAGCATATGAGGGCGATCGGCCTGACTCCCGAGCCGTCAGGCTTGCCCAAGAAGACCATCAACGTCGGCCATCTGTCCGATAGCTGCGGGTCGGCCTCCCGCAGCACCATGAGGTCCACGAGCCTCTCCATGAAGTCGTCGTCGAGCAGGTCAAAGGAGCGCGGGTTCACGCAGTCCGCCCCACAGCCCACCTGGTGAGGAAAGGAGCGGCATGCCGCACGAACACGCTCAGCGGACGGCCTGACCAGCTCATCGCCCTGCGCAACTGCTGCCTGGATCTGTGAGATGCTCTCCTTGGCGTCCCCCCAGTACTGCATCCACTCCGCGTGCATTGCTTGCACGGCAGCGTCCCCTTGCAGCGCCCAGCCCTCTGGAGCCACGGGCCCCTTCACCTGCGGCAGGTCCTTCAGATACCTGTGCGCACGGCGGCCACCCGCCTTCACCGCAGACTGGGCCCACTCTCCACTCCTGCAGCTGCTCCTTCGCCGCCACCTGGGACGCCTCCAGCGCAGCTTGGTGAACGTTGGTAGCCAAGGAGACTAGATCCTCCCCACCTGCTACAACAGCGCTGCGTAGTGGGTGCAGGTCGAGATCAACGGACTTGACCCCCGTCAGCGTCGACAGGTCGAGGTGGTCCAGTTCATCCAACAGGCGTAGACGGGTATCGTCACGTACTCGTGCCTTGCGACCCTGAAGCCTTCCGACCTGGCCCCTGAGACGCCCCCCTGGTTTAAGGCCTCGGCCACCTTCACGGCCCAGAGGGTCTGCAGGAGCCAGGTCTGTCGACGAGTGGACCTCTGCTCCAGCCGAATGGTCCTCGAATGCAGGCACAGGCCTCCTCCGCCCAAGGGGGCAGTCCGCGAGGTTCCACTCAGCCTTCACCGCCGAGCCCACCTGGGATGGCATCCGAGAGCAAGAAGACGCCGAAATCGACTGACAGGCCGCAGCAGGAGCCAGCGGCGTCGGCCCCGAGCGCGGCGACGTGTAGTCTGGCAGGACAAAGCCCATGGATCCCAAGGAAGTCGTCGCACCCTCGATGCTGAGCCCTTCGGCACTGGGAGCAGAAGCGCCACCTGAACATACCGAGGTCGGCTGCCCAGCTTCCTCATCGCTAGCGCCCACGGTGCCGTCCTGGAGCGCCTGGAACCTGGAAAGAATAGCATCAAGCGACCTCCATGCTCGCATCTGGGCCCCTCTGCCAGACAGCTCAGCCTTTTCTACGGAAGCGGAGAGGGGTACCTGCCGACGCTCGAACCCGTCAGCTCTGCCAACAAAGCCTCTCTGCCCTGCTCCAACTATGTCGAACTGGTTGCATAGCTCCAGCTCCATGTTGCTCAGCCACTGGCACCACGCCTCCTCCAGCTGAACCCCTGCGAGCACCCCTGCAGGCCAGGACCAGCTGTGCACGGCAGGCTCCCGCAACGGCCCCGTCCGTAGGGCAGTGGGGAAGGGCTTCCATGTCCTGCGAACGTGGATCGGGATGTTCAGCGTGGGGCCCTTGAGCTGCATGGCAACCGCGACGTGCGGCGATGAGGGGGTGCCGTAAATCGTGCGTACATCACCGACAAAGTTGGCCAACCCCTGACTCACAATATAGTAATCAATCGTGGACCCCGATTTGGCAGCGAAGCAAGTCGGGCCACTTGGGGCCACGATCGTGCCTTTCAGAAGCTCTACCCACTTGCACAACTTAAGATCATCTGGCGGCAAGTTGAAGTCCCCTGCCAGTACCCACGGAGACCTGGACCTACGCAGAAAAACTCCCAAGTCCTCCAGCATGTCCCAAGTGAACACCTTGTCGGACGCGTCCACGAACCCGTAGATCGAGCCCAGCAGCAGACCGTGGGGAAAGGCCATGTTGGCCCGAATCAGCTTCAGCCTCGAGAAATACCCAGCCTGGACGCCAACATGCTTGAGGCTCAACCCTGCGAAAGCGATGTGTGACGCCACAGCCGTCAGCACTCCCCCTGAGGATTCCGTGGCAAGGGGCCCCGTGGGCTTCGCCCTGCCGAACGCCCCGTGATAGCCACGAGCTCGGAGCCAACCTGCCGCGCTACGAACTTTGGTAAGATCTTTCAAACGATGTTCCTGACAAAAACATACATGTGGCCGGGCGTCACCTCCCCAACTTTTCTGCCAGTCCAAGCAGCCCTGGAACGAGCTCCAGGCGCTCGCGTTGACCGTCCACAGCCTCCACCGTTGCTGCACGCGCTGTGGCCTGGCCGCCTGGCTAAAGCCCCTGCCTGCGCCGCTTGACCCCGAGGGCCTCCTGAGCGTGCAGCAGCAGCCGCTTGGCGTCTGCCTGGGCTTCAGCACCTTCAGCAGCTCGCAGTGCTTCGGCAGCAGCTCGAAACGCTTCCGCTCGAGCCTCGAAGTCATCCCCATTGAGCTGTTCCATGTCGATATCGTCGTCCCCTGCTGCCACATCGCCCCCAGGAGGTTCAGTAGCAGCATCAGGAGCATGGTCAATCCCCCCATGCGAGGGCCGCCCGATCTTCGCGAGGATGGTCGGCTTGAGTATCTCCCACTTGTCCGACCCGAGGAAGGCCTGCACTTCAGGATCCTGCGTCTCCTCAGGCTTAATCTCCAGCTTGAAGGTGACCGTCGGCTTCGGCTCCCCGTCAGACTGAGCAATGAGAGCAGCCGTCCGCTTGTACTCGGCATCGAGCTTGTCCACCTCGAGCTTCTTCGCCTCAAGCTGCAGCCTGCGCTCGTCGATCGTCTCATGCAGCTTCTGCAGCTGCGCGGACTTCTCAACGATCTCGGCCTCCAATTTTGCACGGGCCAGGCGGGCCTTGTGCAAATCCTGGGCCGTCCTGCGATGAGCGATCGCGGGAGTGCGCAGCGCCTTCTGCTGCTCCCGTATGCTCTTGATCTTCTCAATCGTCGCGGCACGAATGGGGTCATCATCGGGCCCAGGCAAACTCTTGAGCACCGACTCGTATTGCCCCAGCTGCGCCGTGAGCTTCTCTCGCTTGACCTTCTCGTCATCAGACTCGAGCAGGGGGCCATGTCCGACGACGCATTCTTTGCCTGGGCCCACGGAGCCTCGGTCGGGCTGGCAGGTGGCGGCGGCTCCCCCTTACCACAGAACGACCTGATGAGCTTCTCCATCTCCGCGAGCCTTTTGCTGGTGTCATCTTTGCCTTTGCTCTTCGGTAATGGCGCCCCCGACTGACCAGGTGGCAAGGCCGCAACTGCCGCCTTGTGGGCCTTCCAAGCCTCGTTCCTGATCCGAAGCGGCGCCTCGTTCCCGCACTGACAACGAATACGCGATGCCCAGTTCGCCGCCGCTGAGCATCTGCCACACGCCCAAAAGGGCCGCCGCGGCCCACGGAGCACCGTGGGAGCGGGCGGCGGTTCGGGCGCCATTGCTGCACCTTCCTCGTTGTGAATCTCTTCGCTCTCTGGGAGCGACGCACAGTCAGCCAAGTTGACTCGCTGCAGCGGCGCCGTTCTGAAGACAGCTGCAGCAAGCCCAAAACACCTGGGCCAGAACGGCTAAGAGGAGGAGGAGGAGGAGGAGGAGGAGGAGGAGGAGGAGGAGGAGGAGGAGGGGGAGGGGGAGGAGGAGGAGGAGGACCAGTGTAATCCGAAGACCCATCAACGATATTGCAAAAATCCCTCCCTCCAAGTGCCCTGTTCATGTCCCTATATCGATTCGTTTTCACGGAGGGAAATGCCCCGTTGGAAGACAACCATCTGAAAATCCTGAACCGTGCCAGAAAACCAATGCTGGGACTTCAGCGCCGCGAATCAACGTTACTAATGCGTCCCGACGATCCCGAATCGGGTAAGAACACGAGGACTTCAACACCGCGAATCAACGCAACTATTTCGCCCTGGCAATCCCACATCGTGCCAAACAACCATTTTTGGGACGTCATCCATAAGAATCCGTGCGCGGCGCGGCGCTGAAGCGAGATCAACTTTTCGAAAAGATACCCGCCCTCCACCCGTGAAACGTTGGCAAGCTTCTAAGACGAATGTGTGCGGCACTACAGCGAGAACCGCATCTTGAAAACCGCCCACCCTCTGTCAGTGAAACGGCTGCAGCGATTCAAAACAAATGCGCGCGACGCTAATAGGGGGCCGCATGCGAACCCTACCCCTAATTACCCCCCACGACTTCTGAGGGGGGGAGGGTGGGGCTCACTTTCCCTCGGGAGCTCCCGAGCGCAGTGAACCCCGCCCTCCCCCTCAGAAATCGTGGGGGGTTGGGGGTAGGGTTCGCATGTGGCCCCCCCTAGCTAAGGCGAAGGCCACACGCTGAGGACGGCGCGCCCTCCCAACCCGTGCAGCCGCTGCCGCCGACTTTGACAGCGAGCGTGCGCGCGGCGCGAAAGGCGAGGAAGCCGCGTGCTGACAGCGGCCCGGGCCTCCCTCCGTGGAGCTGTGGCCGACTCTCTGCGCCCGAGGCTCATAAATAACGAGAAGCCTCAGGAGGAGGAGGAGGAGGAGGAGGAGGAGGAGGAGAAGGAGGGAGGAGGAGGAGGAGGAGGAGGAGGAGGAGGAGGAGGAGAACTATCATGAGGAGGAGGAGGAGGAGGAGCAGGAGGAGGAGGAGGAGGAGGAGGAATTGCCGATTCTCAGCCCGAGGATCATTGATAGTGAGAAGTCTCGGGCACAACGCCCAGCCCGCCCCACAGACGCGCCTCAAAGGTGCGACAGGGAGGATTTAGGTTGCATGCTGGAGTGGAAGGACAGGAGCAGGTTCAGGACCAGGCCCGTAGGAGTTCGTCTGTTTCTGCTTGTCACCTGCAGGAGGAGGAAGAGGACAGGGGAGGAGGCGGGCGAGGGAGGGTGGCATTGGCGACGCTGCGGGGGAAAGAGAAAGCCAAGGGGAGGGATGCCAAGCACGCGCACGAGGGAGCAGTCGGGACGTGCGAGCACAAGAGGGATCGCCGCAGCGCAGGCGCGGGCCCCGCCTCCTCCACTGTGAAGCCTTGCCACTTGACGAGAAAATACCTGGACGCACGCATGTGCCGAAGTGCTGACAGGGATCAGCTCTGATCCAGTCGCCGTGTCTCTACGGCGAGTTCGTGTCGTACCGACTTCGGCACTGGCCTCTGACGCAGCGTCGATCGTTCCGCCTTGAAAGATCGCGGCTCTCCGATGGCGTGGATCGTCCGATGCCTGCTGACTGCGGGCCACTGCCGGCGATAACCCGAAACGCCCGCGCCGGGGTCGCCGCCGCGTCAACACGACACGAATGTACCGCACCGCACTTCCCATCACGCTCGCGCCGTCTGACAAAAAGAACATACTTGTGCGCATCGTTGCCCTCGTAGGCCGTCTAGTGAGCCTTCTCCCGTCAGGGAGCATGAGTTGCGTCGCCCTCGTCGTCGTCCTCCTCCTCCTCCTCCTTCTCCTCCCCGCCATCATCACAATCATCATCCAAAATCATCTTCACACCTTTCACACACATCCTTGCGCACATCGGCCTTCACAACGCGACAACGCTTCTCCACAAGCCTCAAACGAGAGATCTCAAGCAGCTTTGCGCCCGGGAGCCCGAAGCTGTCCTGCATCTCCAGCTCCAGCCCCACCCCCTCCTCTTTCCATCCATCCATCCATCCGTCCTGGCTCTGCCTATCCTCATCCTTCCCTACCCTCCACTCCTCCTGATCCTCCTCCTCCTCCTCCTCCTCCTCTTCCTGCTCCTCCCTCTCCTCCTCCTCCTCCTCCTCCTCCTCCTCCTCCTCCTCCTCCTCCTCCTCCTCCTCCTCCTCCTCCTCCTCCTCCTCCTCCTCCTCCTCCCTCCCCCTCCCCTCCTCCTCCTGATCCTCCTCGTCACACTCCTCACCGAGCATACGCGTGGAAGGCCGAGGCCCAAGCCTCTCTACCCCTGCCCCTCCCCCCTTTGCCATACGCCGAGGAGCCTCCGTCGAGGCCCCCCTGGCTGCTGGCTGCTGGCTGCTTGGACACAAGCCCGCTGGGAGTAGGGCAGCAGACCCGACAAGCCTAGCAGTACCAGCAAACTATGGCAGCGCCAGAAGTCTCCACTACCTGCGCCAAATATAAATGCTGATGACGTCAGGCGTCGGCTTGCATAGCGCTCCCCCGGCTCTTCTCGAACTACGCCTGCCAATGTCAGGGTTGATGAGCGGGCCTGTCGGGTCCATCCCCAGGCGCAGCCTGACGTATGGCGCACTCCAGAGCGTGACTCCAAAAGCAGGAGGAGGAGGAGGAGGAAGAGGATGGACAACAACCGCAGCTTCCACAGCAGCAGGTACGTGACTCCACCAGGAAGAGAACGAGAGAGAGAGAGAAATAAAGAAAGACAGAGAGAGGGAAGAGGGGAGGGAGATAGAGAGAGAGAGAGAGAGAGCGAAGAGGGAGGGTAAAAGAGGAGAAAGAAAGAGAGAGAGAGAAGCAGAAATAGAGAGAGAGAGAGAAGCAGTTACCCCGGTGACCTGCTCACGCCTTTCGTGGTCGAGTCTGCGAGGTGTCTGGGCGGCGAGAACCGCCAGACAGTTGTTCGGCAAGTGACGGAGCACTGCCCCGACATGCCCCGACGACCTTCATTATCCTCCTCCTCGTCCTCTTCCTTTTCCCCCTACTCCATTTCCACATGGATACCCTCTCCCTGTCGAACCCTCAGACGTGTCGGTAGCGCGGGCTGGGCGTTTCGCTTGAGACGTCCTCATCACTTGTGATCCTGGAGCTTGAAACTTGCAACTGTAGGAGGAGGAGGAGGAGGAGGAGGAGGAGGAGGAGGAGCAAGGGCGGAGGAGGAGGAGGAGGAGAAGGAAGGGAGGAGGAGGAGGAGGAGGAGGATGAGGAGGAAGGGTGTAGGAGGAGGAGGAGGAGGAGGAGGAGGAGGAGAAGGGATGATATCCTTGAGGTACCAATACCCGTGTATCCTTGAAACACTTATCCCTAGCAACGTTCCACTTCTCGTTCCTCCCCATCCCGGAAGATGGGCAACAGCAGTAAGGCGCTGCTCACGACGAGGGGCGGCGGCGCGGTGGGCGCACTCCTCCCCATCGTCTTTTCTTCTGTACCGGAGAATGTCCTCGACCTCGTACTCCTGCGGGGTGCCCCATGGCTGCTCAGCAAGCGCGGGGGGAGGGGGGCAGCGTCTTGGGGGGTGGGGACGGGCCTTCCTGCGGGGAAGGGCGCGGGGGGATCGCGAGGGGGGGGGGGTTCTCGGCGCGCTGGGGGGGGGGTCGTAGCAGGCCTTCAGTCGGGGCAGCGTGGGGGGGCCTCACGAAAGCAATGCAGAATGCCTCCCCTCACCCTGCCTGGCGGGGAGGGCGAGGGGGCGAGGGAGGGCGGCGACGAGGAGGGGCCAGGAGGTGAAGTTCCACCTTCCCCTCCTCACTCACCACCTGCCCCTCCTAAGGCGAAGCCAGGACGAGTATAACATCGGGTGAAGATAAATCGAGAATATCTGAGATCCCGCAGCTTGGGAGGACGTCTCGGGAGCCGCGGGCTTCTCAGAGCGTTCGGGAGCGTTCTGAGAGCAGTCCAGAACGCTCTGGAAAGAATTTATCCTCGTCCTATCCCCGTCCGACCTCCCACTGCCGTTCCCCAACCATCTCCCCCCTCCTCCTCCTCCTCCTCCTCCTCCTCCTCCTCCTCCTCCTCCTCCCTCCTCCTCCTCCTCCTCCTCCTCCCTCCTCCCTCCTCCTCCCTCCTCCTCCTCCTCCTCCTCCTCCTCCTCCTCCTCCTCCTCCTCCTCCCTCCTCCCCCTCCTCCCCCTCCTTCCCCCTCCTCCTCCTCCTCCTCCTCCTCTCCTCCTCCTCCTCCTCCTCCCTCCTCCTCCTCCTCCGTCCTTACGATATACGCTCATTATGCCACCTGGAGGGCCGATAGCCCCCACGTCGGTGACCTTCCGCCCTACTCATCGAAATAATGCAATCGGCATTAAACATCATTGAACTCTTCAGAAGTAAAGTTTTGACGTCGACGGTGCAACATGCGTGGCGGCAGTGAGCAGTGGCGCACATCGCGCGCGAGAGTGCAGAACGTCACTCTCGCCTCGGAGCCGCGCTTATGTTTCCCGAGGGTTGATCCCCCGCTTGGGTGCGGCGCACATGCTTCACTCGCGGGATCGCGCGCGCGAACGAGCGACACGTCACTATCGCCAGAGGGCCGCCAATGTTTCGCCTGCAGGTGGCGCTCCCGCCCGGGCGCGGCACACGCTCGCGCTCGTCCAGCCGATGGGCCGATGGGCAGCGCGCGGGTGGCGAGCCCGCTTGGGCGCGGCGCACACGTTTCACGCACCGTCGGACAGCGGCAGCGCGGCCGCACGCGAGCGGGGGAAAGGCTGTTCCTTGCCCAAGCGCCGCGCAGGCTCTCCAGGTAGGTTTGCCCATCGGGGCCCCGGCTCCGCGCACCGGCGCATTGTCCACTGGTGCATACTCCTGCGCGTTGCCCTTGCAATCGTCAAGCTATCCGCCTGGCTTCCTCGGTATCCGCACGGCTTCCTCTGCTGGCTTCCTCCTGTCCACACGGATTTTCTCCTACCCGCACAATTTCCTCCTGCCCGCGTAACGTCCTCCTATCTGCCTGATTTCCTCCTGTGCTCATGGTTTCCTCCTATCCGCATGGCTCCCTCAGATCCGCATGGCTATTCCAACGGCGTCTCAACAATCCCCCGAGAATCGCCAAACTCAGAAGTCGAGTGGAGTAGGGTAGAGCAGGGTGGCGTAGAGCGCAGCATACTAGTAGAATAGGAGTAGGGAGAGAGCGCGCCTGTCGCACACTCCCAAAGGGCGGAGGGGGGGCCCCTTAGCTCCTGGACCTTTCCTGCCGGAGGGTGCTCCCCTCCCATTTTCCGCCCCTCGGGAGCTCCTCCCCGCCTCCCCCCCTTTCGAAGGGAGGAGGCTTGGCGACTCCCCCCCTTTGAACCCCCCTGCCAGAAGCCCGAAGCCTCCCCCCCCTCCCCCCCCGCCCCCCCTCTTTTTCCGCCCCTCGGAAACGACCCCCATCCCCCATTTCAGGCTCCAGAAGCTATCCCCCCTCCCCCCCTTTCTAAAGGGGGGGGCTTAGCTACCACCAACCCCCTTTGAACCAACCCTGCCAGAAGCAGCCCCCACCCCCTCCTTTGGCAAAAGCAGAGCACCGAAAACCAAAGGGCCACCGAAAACCAAAGGGCGCCGAAAACCAGAGGCGCCCCGAAAATCGAAGGAACGCCGAAAACCAAAAAGAGCGCCGAACACCGAAGTGGCGCCGGAAAACAAAGTGGTGCCGAAAACCAAAGAAGCGCCGAAAACCAAAGGAACGCCGAAAACCAAAGGGGCACCGACAACTAAACGGGAGCCGAAGACCAAAGGAGCGCCGAAAACCAAAAAGAGCGCCGAAAAGCAAAGGGGCACCGAGAACCAAAAGGCGCCGAAAACCACAAGAGGCGCCGACAAGCCAAAAAAGGCTCCGAAAACAAGCGGAGTGCCAAAAACCAACGATGCGCCGAAAACCAGATGAGGGCGCCGAAAACCAACGATGCGCCGAAAACCAAAGGGGCGCCGAAAACGAAAGAGCGCCAAAACCCGAAAGGACCGCCGAAAAACCAAACGGTCGCCGAATTTCAATAGGATGCCGAAAACCACAGGAGCGCCGAAAACCAATAGGGCGCCGACAACCATAGAGTCGCCAAACACCAAAAGGACACGAAACAAACCGGTGCCGAAAACCAAAGGAGCGCCGAAAACCAAAAGGACACCGAAAACCAAAACGGCGCCGAAAACGCCGAAAGCCACAAGGGCACCGAGAACCAAAAGAGCGCCGAAAACCGAAAGGAAGCCGAAAACCAAATGGGCGCGGAAAACCAAAGGGGCGCCGAAAACCAAAAGGGAGACGAAAACCGCAGGGGCTCCGAAAACCAGAATGGCGCCGAAAATCAAAGCTGCGCCGGAAAATCAAAGTGCGCCGAAAACCAAAAGAACACCGAAAACCAAAGAGGCGCCGAAAACCAAGAGGGCGCCGAAAACCGCAGGGGCGCCGAAAATCAAAAGGAGCGC